GTGAAGTATTTGGGACTTTTAAGGTCAGCATTTCACTTGTAAGTGGCTCCTGGTCCCAGAGGAGAACGACTCCTCACACAGACCATTTGTCACAGTTGTCTCCATGCTAGGAATTAACAAGGGATGGATTAAAATCTAATTATATACTTAATTAAACCAGAAGATACTGGAGCACTGTGTTTAAAAAAAAAAAAAAAAAAGCTAAAGAGTGAGTGGGCCGACGGTGGTAGGAGGCGGGGTCTTATGGGAATGTGACGGGGAAAAAAAAACAAAAAAACGAGACGTTTGGGACATTGCCGGTTTATCTGGAACAAAAGGATGTAGAGATGGTCGTCAGATGATTCGCCGCGAGAACTTTCTGTCCCAACTCTGTGTCTTCACTTGGAGAGACAGGAAGTCTGGTTTGGTGCATTTATCTGCCTGGAAGGAAATCACTTTGTAGAAAATCCAGGCTGTGGTTGCTGCTCAGAGAGACACCACCGTCTGCAGTGAAGTGTCAAGATAATGTTACCTGTTGTCAGCTAAAAATACACGGTGGGACTAGAGATGCATCATGGTTGCGGGTCATGTGATCTGTGGTATCTGCTGCTGCCGTAGAAAAATAAATCTTTCGCCTAAACTTCAGACTCAGGTCTTTTTGTATCGACTTTTCAGCAGAATAAACTGGTCACTCCTGCACATTAATAAACCAGCTCTGTGTCTGTGTGGTGTCACAGGTGTGATAACAAAGAGCCTGTTGACAGTATTACACTGGATGCTGTGTTGGAGTTCTACGTCTTCTCGGGGCAGGGGAAAGTTTTTGAAAAACTACTTGAGTAAAAAAAAAAAAAAAAAATGGATGCAGAAAATCTAGGTTAGTCCAACAGCTGTTGAGGTGATAAAGTGACAGCTGGAGCCCAGGTCGACTGCAGCTCTACTTTTTAGACAACTGCCACAAAAACTCTTTGACGACCCACTAGGTATCTTTAAAAATCCCGTCTCTGCCTCCCACATCGTCTGATCTGTTTCCACTAAGATTATAACCTACAGCAGGGGTGTCAAACTCAAGGCCCGGGGGGCCAAATGAGGGCCGCCAAGTCATTTTGCATGGCCCGCGGGAGCTTAAAAAACATCTTATATTTAAGTCCATTCAGCAGCGTTTTTTAACCTGATAATTTTTTTATTCCACAGAAATAAATAATATTTGTAACTTAAATAAATAATTATCAATTTGAGAAACATTTATTAATACGTTATGTCATTGCTACATCTATACAGTCTACCATTTACTACCGGCCCTTTAAGAGGCTGATAAAACTGAGCAAAAACTACTAATCAAACTAATAGTAGATGAACGTTGCTGTAATTTGCATATGAACAATCCCAGTAACAAATGTCCATTAGATGGTCCCAGATCCTACTGCATGTATATATTAAATCTATATTCCTCTGGTGTGAACAGTCCTCAGTCTACACTGTGATCTGTGCATGCTCAGCTGCCTCCATATTGCCCGGACCCTGACAGCACCATCACATTAACGCCTCACTAGCCTAACACGAGGCATGTGGCTGGAGCCGCCAAATTGCTGCACAATCAATTGGTTTTTAATGCCTTGACCAGCTCCCCCAGCACTAGAAGCTAACACGCTCGGCTAATTTAATGTGATTCAGCGAGCCCGTGGCAGGCGGTGCTTGAGTGTTAAAAGAGGCGCAGCGTCTGCTGTGTTTGTGGCCGGGTGCAGATAAACGCCCGGGTCAGGGAGGGAGAGACAGATTGACAGCTACGATCCAGCAACGACGGCTGTGACAGCATGGGGTTGGTGGTTAGCAGCCGTTCGCTGACACAAGAACACAATAGAGACAGGGCCGTGGGGAGGGACGGGGCCACATGGTTACTGCTGGCACGGAGGCAGGATGACATATACACCAAAGGACAATATGGCTGCTGGCTGCTGCCAAGGGCTCTAAAAAAGGCTGGAATGGATGAGAGTCAGACAGTCGTACAGGCTGGTGGGGAATTACACGTGCAGCCACATGCAACGCACACAAACAAGCAGGCGGTTACACAAAACACCTCCTTTGTCATGTTCACTCCTGACAAATAGTGTCACCAAAAGAGCCCTGCGCTGAATTCCAAAACGTCTGGGTAATTTACTGCCCTGGGCAGGAGGGCAGTGTGTCTGAAAGTGACTGAGTGTATGAGTGTTTGCACGTCTGCCAGGCCGGTGGCCCTGCTGCGACCAGATTATAAATTCACTGTCCCACGGCGGGGATGGATGTGAGATGGCTCGCACGCAGAGGTAAATGGCCTCAGCGGGGGGCCACACAGCTGGAGGTGGCTGCCCCAGTAAGACGGTGCTGGAGGTCAGCTGCAGATCCACATTTTTTTTTTTTATTATTACTGTGGACTCACAACCTCGACATCAGTCACTATAATGCAGTGGTGTCAAATGAGTTTTGGTTCAGGGGCCGCATACGGCCCAGATTTGAGATGTCAAGTGGGCCAGACCAGTACAATTAAATCATAATTACCTATAAATATCAAAAAGTCCATGCCCCCCCCCTCACTTATTTACATGAACATTAGAAAATGTTCATATTTGATGAAATATAATTTGCCAAAACATCACCAACATGAGGTGATTGAGAAATTTCAAAACCTATCAAGTGGGCCGAATTGAACCAACTAGCGGACTGGTTTTTGGCCCGCAGGCCATATGTTTGACACCCCAGCTCTAATGGACTGAAAAAAAAAAGCCAAAATGCAGCTCCAAACCAAAACAGAGCCTCCGCCTAATAATTTAATTTAAAATAATTTGACCTGGGGACAGTGATATGACAGTGACAGAGACATTTCCCTATAACGTTCAATTCTTTTAAATTAAAAAAATATATCATTTTGGCTGGGATGAGTTAAATTAGTGCTTGGAACACAGTGGACGCTGAGCCGATAATTTTGATTCCGGTCACACTGTTCATCAGACTGAGATGTTTTTATTATTATTTGCCAGTGTTTTAACCTAGTAACACATGGCTTCATTATTTCCTTTACATCTCAGGTCATAAAGATTTAATTAATCAGCATACATATTCATGTGCTCGTTAGTGTGGAATATTTGATAGAAAACTATGGTGTGAATTATGCAGCCCTGTGATTATTAAAAAAAGATTATACTGGTATAAAAACAGTCGCCCGTTCTGCACTCTGGGCGGTGATTTATTTTCAAAGAGAAAATAAATTCCTGCATCAATGAATGATGTAAACACAATATGTTTACTCTCACCGACGCACGCACTGCAGTACACGCAGTAATACTATGTACATTTGAGTTGTACGGTCGCTCAAAGGAAGAGGTGCTCACTGTACTTCAGCCGACTGTGGAGACTCATTGATACGATGACACTGATTCAAAAGAATTCAATGGATGTCAAGGACTGACTGGTAGAGTCTGGTCTGGTGAATGAAGTGAGAGCAGCGGAAAAGAACAAAGTACACAGAGTGTACTCTTCAGGGCCGACAGAGGGGCCTCCAGCTAACACTGAAGCCTCCGGCAGAGCCGCGTGGCCAGAAATAAATAAATAAAACTTGATGTAATGAAATGAGAACACTGACTGAGGATTAATTAAAGCTGAAAGTTAAAACAATTTAATTAACTACCACTGCTGCTCTTTGGTGGTTCAGCGGTGAGAAGACGGACCAGGGACCAGACTCCATTCAACAGCGGTCTCCAACTGTTTTCTTTTACCAAGGACCGGTCATTAAATTTTCAAAATAAATCATCTTTTAGACTTTATTCTGTGAGTATCAGAATCTGAATGACCTATTGTTTCGAAACGTTGTCAGATTATCTTTCAATGATAAAAGTAAAGGCATACGACTGAAGTACATGTAGTCACTATTCAGTGATTCAGTCACTGTGTCTCACTGTGGCCCGGTTAACAAACGATCTATGGACCGGTACAGGTCCCCGGACCAGGGGTACGGCACCACCTGCTGTAGTTAACTATTAAATTAAGATTGTTCAAGACTAGTAAAAAAGTCGAAATAATATTACAATCACTTCACATTTATGCGTTTTGAAAGTGAAACGTTTTTTAAAATTTGTAATTCTTTTGGAGCTGTATCCGACACATTGTTAAACCAACAAATCCAGGTCCAAAAGGTTCCTGGTCCTAGAGGCTGCGTCAGTCTGTGTCCACTGCAGTACCAGCTCTTACAGGGATTATGTAACTGAGCCCAGAATGTGAAAAAGTTTTCAAGTATTTGTTAAATGTTACTACGCTGACCCTTATTATTTTGAGGATTTTTGCCAGAGAACATAATGACATGAGCATAGCTTCTATTGCTAAAGCTAACGAGCCTCCAGATTGGTGACTAACGGTGGCTCGTGAAAGAAAATGTGAAGAATTCTCTAATCAGTCAGGGAGAGCATGGCTCCTGAATAACTGCACAGCTTTGACAGGGAATCTTTTTTTTAAAGCTAAACTCCATCCTGTTATTACTGTCGAGCTCCTGGTCCTTGCAAATGCACCAATTCCCCGCTGTTTAAATGCACCTTGTGAAGACTCGCAGCACTGGAGCCTGTGTAACGAGCCCACAGTTTCAGGCGCTGCTGCTGGTGAACTAAAAACTAATGAATGTTAATATATTTTCCTGTCTGCCTCCACTGGTCACCCAGGGCAACCGTCCACACTCTGTCTGTATTGTGCTGAGGTCTGGTAAATGATGCTAAATGACTTCCTGGCACAAGCAACACCAATAAACTGCCATCCTTAAAATAAAAAAAAAGACCCTCAGGTCTCATACAATCCACCGGGTTCAACATTCGACTTTTAAGAGAAGAAAACTAACTTGGAGGATTTTAAATGTAAGATTGTGAGTTTGAAAGATGTTTCGTAAAAATAAAAGAAAACACTGTGGACCATAAAATAAATAAATGAAATAAAATGAAAAATCATTCTTTATCAGATAAACAGTCACAGCAGGGTGTGGGATGTGTTCTGTGGTGTGAAGTACTCACTGTTGGTTGCATAACATATTGTTGATGAGGCATCCATGACGTACTCTGGACCTGTGGAAACAAAAACAATGACGTTGAGGTCAGTTTCACCAGTTTATCATGACATTTTTTTCCATATCATTCCATTCTTTTCCACCAAAACATTGAAAAAAAATTGTCCCAAAATGGAGAAATTCCCTGTGTGTGTATTTGGTTGTGGTTGTTCTGGGACTCGAACTAATTCCCTGTGTGTGTATTTGGTTGTGGGTGTTCTGGGACTCGAACCCAGGACCTTCTGAGTGTAAGGCAGCTGTGTCAGGCAGCTGGAATAACCTTTTAACTATGGAACCACATTTTAAAATTATCAAAACATTTCAGAATGTTGATTTTTCTCGACTAATCGTGATTAATTGCTATTAATCCTCATCCACCCTGTGATTAACTTGAATAACACAACGTAACCACTCGACAGCCCTGAGATGTTACCTGTTAAAGACATTACAGATATCTGTTATTATCTGGCATTAAGTACAAATGTTTAAAATACTCACAATTTGCCTGAATACTGTGACAATTAGTGGTTTTTGAAGTACCTTAGACGGCCACCGGGGCTGAACTTTTCACATACTGAGACGTGCCAATGAATCACAGAGTAGTAGTTTAAAGTCTGACGGCAGCAAACGTCTCTGCCTGCGTTCTCATTATTTAAACGCAGTACTTTGTGCATTGAACCCATAACTGAAATAACTCCTCGATTATAGCAATTATATCAACGCCACAGTCGGCGTTCCTGCACCGAGGCTCCGCAGCTGCCAGGACTGACGTCTGTGGAGCCAACTCCAACAGGATTATCATTATTATTATTATTATTATTATTTCTGTTGAAATGATAAAGTACAGACACGTTGGTTCAGTGTACAGTCACAGGTGAGGACGAGGACGCCACAGCAGCAGTGACACAGTGATCGACGGGCGGTTCGAAATGTTTGGGAAGTGACGGCTCCTCCGTCTGTGCTGGACGGGGAATTTCGACAGCTTGTCGCAGACAAACACACAGGCTGGCCGCTGATCCTGCTAAAATGATTAGATTAAACAAAGACAAATATGGAATAATTCACTATAAGAGCGTTCAATCCTCTGAGCCAACCCGGACGCGTGATTTGGATCCAAACCCAAACAGGGCTTCATATTCTATATAGAATGAAGCCAAGAGTGTGTGTGTGTGTGTGTTTATACAAAGGCAGTGTTTGTTCTACGCTGCTGAACAGAACTGCAGGGACGAAGGAATGACTTATCTTTATTCATTCATCTTCAGTTTTTTTTTTCTCCGACCATGAGCATCATGAGATGTTCTAACGGGGCTGTGGAGAACACAGCTGTTTGTCTGAGGGATTTAGACAAAGAGCTCTTTAGCACTTTGAAAATTTTTACTGTCTTAGACTGAAGGGGATGAAAGATTTAAAGAAAAAAAAAAAAAAAACAGGAGAGTGAGACCAATCATCAGCTGCAGAACCCACTGATGAGCTACTGAAGTATTAACGTTAATATGACCAGAAAAAAACACGGTCTAAATTCTCTGGCCCCAGTTTGTGTCATCTTTGAGTGCACGATGGAGCCAATGATGTTGGAGGAGTTTGTCTAGAGTTTATTTAGCTTCTGGATTAGCTTCTGGATTACAGTAGGATGTGTGTTTTAGATTTGTCCCAGGCGTCTACAGCGTTTTATTCACTGCAGCAAAGTTCAGCTTGTTTACATTGTTATTTAACAAAATGTCAGCCCTGAAAAAAAGCAAACTACAAACGTGTTGTCAAAAATGTCTAAGGCTCAGTCAGAGTCATACCGAGCAAAATATACAAAAAACATTTCCATATCATGATCTAAAGATCAGAAATCACCTGAATACAGGTTCTGTTCAGCAAGAATAAAGACTCGTTAGCGTCACAGATGCAACGAGTAAAAGGATTCACTTCATTTGTCTTAATTTCTTATCAGTTACCATACGAAACCAATGGAATAGTGATTTTAACCAATGGAATAGTGAACCGTGAAGCCACCTCTGGCTGAACCTCACAGCCTGTGATAGCATATAAAATACAGCCGTCAGACGAAGAGCCAAAACATTCAGAGCATCACTCAGTCACCGCTCGGTCACTCAGTCACGGTGAGGCCCAGACAACACGGCCAGTCCCTCCGATACAACACGTACTACTGTAGTTCTGCTGCCGTCAGACAGACAGTGATATGAAGGGGTCACGGTCAGTTGGCAGCAGGGAAGTACCAGGCTGAGATCTTGGTACCGATCTGGCCTGGAATCAGTCCCGTCATGTGGATCACAAAGAACTGCTTTTCCAGGAAACAGAGGCGGTCGTGATTCCAGCCCAGCGGAGCCAGGATTAAAACGCTGGCACGGCTCATTTGCAGATTTGATTAATCAATGCCTGAGGTTATAAAATTTCCACTGGTCCTAAAAGTAAAAACGACATCTGGAGCGCTGAGATTTTCATTACAGAGATAACAGTTTCCACCATAAAAGAAAAGGGGTTTTCTTTTGTACGGCAGCGTGTGCCAGTCTGGGTCGTCTGGTCTCTCTTTGTACCTGAGCTGCCCGAGATGAAGGACTCACCTTCTGGCCGTCACTGACTGAAGGGCAATAACACAGAGCAGAGCTGCACCAGAGCTGCCTGATATTGAAACTGTGAGGATTAATATTCCTCAAAAGCCCGGCCGTTGTTTCTGATAAATCAATTTGGGAACCGGTCGGACGGAGGATTAGAGCTGTGTGACTTGGCCCACATCTCTCTGCCTCCGTCTCTCCACCCAGCAACCGCAGGACACTGTATCAGAGCTTTAATCAAGTGTCCCTCCAAAGACAGGCCCAGTAACCTTCAGCTACAACCTTCTCTGCCCACCAACACCAACACGGAACAATCACAACCTCCACTGTTGTTTTCTTTTTCCTGTTCAACGTGATTAATCAAGATTAATCATGATTAAATTGAGACGGTATGTTCATCTTGAAGCACTTGGGTGAAATTAAAACAATTTCCTGCAGATGTCATCATGTGTATCGACCGTGCGTTAGAGCGTGGACGGTGGATAAACAGTGGGATTATTGCACGTCATGTTGCCTTTGTGTAGAATGTTAAAATAATAATACTTTTTAAAAATATAAATTAGTTATTGCAAATGTACCCAATACTTTTGATAGCTGTAAAAATAAAATACAAGAAAATTACTATATTGTTGAGTTGTTTTTTACTTTAAGTTGAGGTAATGGACCATTTGTCCATTATATTTGGCTAATTATAATTTACTCCTTGACTTACCTTTACCTTAGTACTATTTTCTATATAAATTTAAAGATGGAAATATATATATATATACATATATATATATATATATCCATAAGGAAAACAGCTAAAAATGCATTGCGTTTGCTTTTCTAAGAAGTCAAAAAGACAATAGTTGTCATGAGTCTCCTGAGTCTTTCCTCTGCCGCTCTTCTCTTCAGATACACAGTTGAATGTACTAAAATATTAATACACTATGAAAAATGTAAACTCAGCCAAAGGAAGAACAGACTGGAGTTGTTTGGTGTTATTTCCTTAAAGTTTTAGCAAAGTCTGTCCAAGTATTTCCTAACATTCTCCAGATTCAGGTCTGGTTTGTTCTGAACCGTCACATTGTTCCGTTTTTTAGGTCAGTAAAATTTACTGTGTCGTTCTGAAAGCAGTTCTCTGACGGAGAAACTTTAGATGCAGTTCCTGCAGAGGACTCTAGTCTTTTGGTTAAGTCCTTCCCAAGCGTCGTCGTAGTTATTTTAATTAGACGCCTCCTTACTAGTTTTCTTCATAATTAGATTTTACACCTAATGAATCTCTTTAAACTACTTAATGAAAACTTCTCGCTCCAGTCAACAAATTTCAACAACATCTTCAAATCTAATCCTTTAACGAGGTTAAATTCAAACCTTCAACCTTTGAGTCGAGTCAATAAACAGGTCAGTTCTTTAGAGAGGTTAAAAGACAAGACACCTAGAAATGCTCTGTTAGAAACTTCCTGCTTGTCCCACAACTGAACGTGCTTCATTGTCTCACTTTTATCCACTTTGGTCAGCCATCTGTCTGACTGAAGAGGGAGGGTGAGAGAGGGAGCGGGGGAGAGAGGGAGAGAGAACGAGGGCTACGGTGGCAGAATCTCTTGATGTTTGAAATTCGGCAGAAAGTGCCGCGTGAAACGTGCAGTGACAGAAAGCGGGCAGCGCTCTTGACATCTGACACTGGCAATTTCCACGTCCCTGTTCTGTTGTGTTTCATTACTGCACAGATCAGAGCCGGGATGAAATGTGGAAATTCACTTTGGGAAGGGCGGAAGCGATTGTATCGGAGTCTTTTTTCGGAAAAAAAAATAAAATTAGATTAAATGCAAGGAAACAAAATCTTGGAAGCGATTAGCTGCTTCAAGGAGCACAAAAAAAGATTTGAGTGGAAAATGAGGAGGAGAAACAGAGAAGTGTGTTTGTTTTTCCTCGACACACTCGTTCCTGACGCGCGTTTTCCCTTTTTTCTCCGCTGTCAGCCTTTTCCTCTGCTGCTTGTTTTCTGATGCCTGTTGTGTTCGCCGCCCACGAAACAGATGTCATCGAGCACAGCTGGAGCGCCGAAGAAACGATGAGAGAAGAAGAGACGGCTTCACGCTGTTCTGCGGCCCGCCCCCTCCCTTACTGAGCCACGCTACACAGAGTAAACCCTGCCATTACCCATGTACACAAATACACACGGAGAAGACAGTCGTCCACCCACAATGCAGTGCACCAGGGCCTACCTGATATGTGGAAACGGGGGAAGCAGCGATGAAGGGCGTGATGGAGGTCTGTGCGATCATTCGGTTGGTGGCGATGCTGTAAGGCGAGGTGTAGAATCTGGGGAGAGAGAGGGAGAGAGAGGGTGAGGAAAAGGAGGTTAACAACAGAACACTGGGATATAAATAGTCTATTTTGTCCATAATAAAATAAATAATTTAAATCAACACTTATTTACTACAGCTCTGAAGAATTTCCATCTTTGTACAAAGAGAAAACTGCCATTAGCCATTAGCTTGCTACGTCACATTCAGTCTTTTTCATTTTCTGGTCCATATTTTTGTTATAATTTTCAGAAAAATGTTTATTCTTTCTTTCACTTTGTTACAATATTCTAATCATTCATGATTTGGAGAAATTGAAAGGATAACATTTATGTTTTTTCAAGAAAATGTCACTGGACACAAGATAAGCAATAGAAATAATGTAGCCATTAGCTTCTTCACTTGATGCTAAACTTGGGCTTGTTTTTGCATAACTGAAAGTCATTTTGGGCTCAAAAAAACAAAACAATAACCAATAACAAGTAGTTACAATAAGAACAGTCTAATTCTAATTCAAATTCACACCAACATACTTACATAGATAGAGATTTAGCAATAGATTTAGCCAGAATGTTAGCCATGGGCTATAAGCTATTTGACTAGTTAGCTGTTTGGTTTTCTTGATGTTTACTTTTTGTAACTTTATCAAAACAAACAAAAAATATATAAAGAAAGCAGCAACAATATTCACCTTGTTCCTCGTTGTTTCAGTGTATCATTTAAATCACATTTAACCCAATACTAAATATAAAAGTTATTCTGGGTTCTTTCCTCTGCTGCTCTGCTCTTCAGAAACACAGCTGAATGTACTCAAATATTAATACGCTCTGGAAAATGTAAATTCAGCCACAGGAGAGAATATATAAGCATTAAGCGCAGCTAATTTGCATGATAATTATATTTAACGTTACCTTATTCAATTTTCCATTGAATTTTGATGAATCAGTGAGCAGAGTGACAAAGGTGGAGCAGCCGTTCTGCTTCACATTTACAGATTTCCATAACTCCCAGCTCTGTTTTTTATTACCTGAGCTTCCAGCTGATTTAGTGCAGTTTTAATCTCTCTGTAGTTGGGATGACTACGTGTGGAGTTTTCTCTGCTCTGGAACGACTTCTGTCCGATTTGTTATTGATTTCTCTGAACCTCTGAATCAAAATTAGAAGACTTAAATATTTGTTCTAGTTCCAAGCAGAGCAGTACTTTTCAGTGACGTTGTCAACTCTGTGAAGTGACGGAGGATGAATGAACGATTTAATTATCTTTTATTTGTTTAAGGTTCACGTCAGGTCACCGGGAAGGAGGGGTAAATAAAAGTGGACGAAGGAGTGGGAATTCATGGGGCTTCCTCTGAATTACTGAGGCTGGAGAGTGATTTGAGGATTGGGGATAAAGGGGGGGCTAAAAGGGCAGGGAGGGGGGTGGAGGTGTGGGGGGGTTGGTTGCTGTGTGCTCCTTCCTGTCCCAGTACAGTGAGGGAATTAAACACATTGTTGGGTCATTTATTTTCAAGCTCCATTAAATTCTGGCAGGAAGAAAACACACAGTACGAACACACACACACACACCAGGATGGAAATGCACCCCCTCCTCCTCCTACTGCCCCCCCCCCTCCATCACCTCTCTAATGAAAACAGATATTTAAAATTCATATAGATTTCTTCTTAATCAAACAGTAACAAAGAGCAGCCACTCCATTAATCTCCATGTATGACAGTCTAGTATTGACTCCAGTCATGTGAGTTAAAAAGTCTGTGTGTGTGTGTGTGTGTGAGTGTGTGTGTGTGTGTGGTGTCAGGATAGGCTCTTACCCGTTCTGCATTGCAGTGGGATCATATGTTAACGCCATGCCAGTCTGAAAGAGAAGACATCAACAATCAATCACAAACACAACACATCAGCTGTAATATTATCACACACACATAACAAGTTCAAAAAAGGAAACAAAACCTTGTTTTAAACCTCACTACAATTTGTCTGTTACTCGAGAGTTCAAATTTTAGAAACTGTTCCGAACAAATTTTTTTGTTGTTGTTGCCCCAGGCCAAAAACAAAAATAAGCAAACCAAACTGGTCTAAACTTGTCTATTTCTTATACTTTAAATGTTTTGTGAGACTGCCTGTGTCCCATGATGCAATTTACCCAGGTCTGATCCAAAAAGAAAAAAAAACAACAATTTTTGGGGAAAAATGTTGGTGTAAAATAGTCATGTGATGTCACTCACACTGAATGGTTTGGGCCATTTGTGGTACTTTATAACTGTGACCAATCAAATTTCAATGGTTACATCACCTGACAGACGTCATTAACAAAAATCACAGTTTGATTCATGGACGGAAAACTACATGAAGACCTTGTTATGACACATTCACACCACTGGGGTGTTCAGCTGCTTTACGGTACACCATTAAACACCAAGGTGGGGGGGAGGTCAAGCTTAATATACCACACAGTGAATTACACATGTATCTGTACTGTGTGTCTCTGTCAATAATTTGCAGCAATGTCAGCAAAGATAATATGCTGTACTTTTATTGTACTTGGAGAATAATGTGATTTAGACGCCCCCTCCTGTTTGTTCAACGTAAATTTAATCAAATCAAGATCAACAGCGCTTCAGATAGAAGTCGAAAAAAAAAAAAAAAAAACAATAGACAGGAGACAAAAGCCGACGTGGGTGAAATCTTCGTCAATAGGACAAAGTGAATTAGTAACGAGGCGACACGTCTGTGCCTCCAATTCAATCACGTACAACAGGGTTTTTATGAATGAGATAGAAGTCGAAGATGCCCTTTGGAGAGAGAGAGGGAGAGAGGGAGAGAGAGGGGAGGAAGAAGTGAGTCCTTTGTCTGTGTGTGTGTGTGTGTGTGAGGCCCTTCCAGAGTCAAGGAGAGAAACCTGTGCACTGCAATCCGTCATCTGCATTCCTGAAGGTTCTCCCCCGGAGGAGAGCTAATCCGATTTCTTTTAACGGAAGGCTGCTGAGGACGGCAAATTTCACCGCGCACACACACACACACACACACACCCTTTCATTGCCCTTCCTCTCTCTCCTCTTCTCCCCTCCTTCCATTCACCATCATCTTGGACTCTCTCCCTTTCCTTCTTCACAACTTTTCTCCCCTCACCCCTCACCCTCCTCGTCTCCTAACCCACCCCCCCCCACTCTCCTCCTACCTCCCATTTCTTCTGCACCTCTCCTTGCCCTTGCTCCTCTGGAGGAGTTACCTACACTGAGATGTACTGCTGAAGGCAATAGTGGCTCAGAGGAGCAGCAGGAGGCGCAGGATCAGTGAGCCTGAACCATCAGGGGAGTCAACAAAAACACACTGGTCCCACGTACGTGTGGACGTACATGTGCACGGTGGTCGTCCTCCGCGTTCATCCTGTGTCAGAGTACACATGCGGCAGTGGTTAAAGGGCCTCTAGGGGGCGTCTGTGAAACCTGTGAGGGCTGAATGAACCGTTTTAGCATCTGTCCTGGTTTTATTGAAGTTTCTCCTCCAGTCCTGTGCACTCTCCACCTGTTCCCACCACGGTCTGTCCCTTTAACTCCAGATGTTCTCAGAACGAGCACCAAGGCATGTTTTTCTTTTTCATTTTCATGTTTTCGTACAGTGCATGTTTGGGCCCACGTGTGTGCGCTAACGGCACCAGCAGCGGTCGTCAGCTCGTCTGCTGCACGGCTGATAACTTTTCTAAGTGCTGCCCTCGGTTCCATGAACTGATGAGTTCCACAACAGACGGGTTCCTGGCCGGGGACCCTGCACGACTGTGTGAGTGATTACTGACAGAGTAAGCTCTTGGCTGAGTCACAACGTGGAGAAAGAATAATGAAGAGAGACAGTTTGGGAATGTTCTCCTCGGAGTTTGATCCAAAACAGAAGAAAGAAAATAATCATCAGAGTGAATATTGTACAGACTGCTTTGACAAACTTGGTCTGGAGGAGGAGCTGCCAAAGACAGACTGGATATTCCAGGTCGTAGTAGCTGCACCTGTTTATTTTTGAATGCACCTGCAGTCAGGTCCTGGTCCTGGTCCAGTTCAGTGTTCTTTTCCTGTGACAGTGACAGACGTTGTAGCCAACGGAGGACGTTTGTGACGCTCTCCTTTGTTCCTTGGTCTGACTTTTCTCCTGGAGATGTTCGTGTAGAAGAATCTTCATCACCTTCAGACCAACTTCTCCTCTCTGTCCTAGTCTGACCCTGGGTCTGAGCCTCTACACACGGGCCTGTTTTTCCCCTTTGTTTTCACACAAAGAATTACATATACAGTATATTAAATATTTATGATTATCTATTTATATTTAATTAAAAATATTATTATTTTCATTTTCTAATTTACAATTTATGGACAATTAATCCACACGTTGAAGCTCGCATTTGCTGAGCTGTGATTGGCTAACTGCGTATTAGCATTAACACGCAGCAGGACGAATAGACCAGTGTTCACACTGAACCCTGAGAAAAGAGAAGGCAGCGCTCGTTTCCTGTCTTCTATTTTTGTTTGTCTTTTAATCACTATTTATTTCCTCTACTTACCTCATGGCCACACACACTCTCTCTCTCTCTCTCTCTCACACACACACACACATGCGGACATCTGTCAGGTTTTCACAGAGCCGGATGTTTTTTGTTCGTCTACATTCATTCCCCAGGAGTAGGTGCTTGAAAAGTGTGACTTTGAAAGTTTTTGTGTGTGAGAGTGTGTGTGTGTGTGTGTGTGGGTGACAGAGAGCGAAAAGGAGAAAAGCAGCGTATGTGTGTGTGTGTGTGACAGTGACTAATATGTTTGTCAGCATGACACAGTGAGAGACAGCACTTTGTCGACTCCCGCTTTGAGCAGTTTATGAGAAAATCTGTCATATATTTCTCAGTCCTCAACAGCAGCCATCGTTCAGCACTCAACCCCTTGTAACTCCTGACTGATCATGCAATGTGTTCCCCGTCCTGTTCTTTCTCTCCCAGTCTCAGTGAGTCACTCAGTCGCTGTCTCTCCATATGCTGCGCTGGGGTTTTTGAAGGACTTTGAAAACACGGGGAAGAGGAGACAGTGGGAAAATGGTGACGGTGAGAAAGGTGAAGCAAAGAGTGGGAGAGAGAGAGAGGGAGGGAGGGAGAGTAATGGATGGTGGGGACTGTATCTTCTCCTCATCTGCCTGCCATGTTGGTGTGCTGAAGAACGGCCTCAGCTCTGATAAACAGACTAACACGTGATGCCTATCTTCCCGTCTGTACGGCTGATCAATGGCCACCTTCATATACAGGCCTAAACTGGAGGTTGACATGGAGCTCTGCAGAGTTTGGTCAGATCTAAGTGTGGAGTGTGGTTAAAAAAAAATAACAACAATAATTGTAAACAAGTCCCCAAAAATAAAGAAGAAAAAAAATTTAGGTAAAACCGCAGCAGTCGACATCTGGCCTAGAAAAAAGATCAGTCAGGCTATACAACAGCAGATACAACAGCAGGTGTGCCCGACACATATATATGTGTATATATGCCCTATATATATATATTTATACATACATAAATATATGTATATCATTAGATAATAATTTAATTTAAAGGAAAACAGAAGATAAAGCATGACTGAACTGGCATTGTTAACATGGGGTTCAATATAAATTGGCATCAACAAGTGTAGCTTTATTAATCAAAACGGTTTCTTCTCAATGGAGCCTCCTAGTGGTGACAATGTCACAGCCACCGATGGCAAATTGCTAGATTTGCTAGAATTGCTAAACAGCAAGAAAACAGTTATTGTTTAACCAGTTGTACCATAACCCCCCCATTTACTCATTTACTGTTAGCAAGAAAGCTAATAATTTAAGTTCAGGTGTGAAATCGATGGAAATCTCTGTTGTTGTTAATAATTTAACTCAGTCGTATCTGTTATTTTATCGCCGTATTGGTCGACTTTGTAAAATATGGTCTTGCGGGGAGCTAATGCTAAAGAGGCTAATGAGCCGCATGAGGCTCAGGAGCCACAGGTTGCAAACACCTGGTCTAAAAAAAAGTGTTTGTAAACCACCTCCTCAGTGATGGATCAATAAAATCTAATCCATAGTAGAGACAGGAGGACGAGACGCAGCACAGACGGACCTCACGGTCTGTGACTGTAACTGACGTCACGTGGAGAGAGGCTGCTGCAAGAACAGGCGGAATACGGTGTGTGTGCTGCAAATGACACACCTCGAACCAACAGAGTCGCCCCCTGTTGTCAGTGTGAGGTAACGTAACAGCGTGATTAAGGTTAAACCCGCTCGGCTGGTTCCTAGGTGTTAGGACGGCTGCACATGTGATTGGCACACACACACAAACGCACACACACACACACCTAGACGACGGGTGTAGCTACTGCTCTCTTTTCGCAGCACAAACACACACACACACACAGCTAGACGACGGGTGTAGCTACCGCTCTCTTTTCGCAGCACAAACACACACCGAGTGTGTGTGTTCTCTGAAGGACAAACAGGTTTTTTTTCCTTCACTGCAGCTTCAGCACAACTGTCAGCCGCTCCCTGAGATCGTACACGTGTGTGTGTGCACGTGTGTGTGTGTGCACCTTTACGTCTCTTCTATACGGTCCAACATGGCGTGCTCGCGCCTCTACCCTCTCTCCTCCATGTGTCCTTCCTGCTGCGGCCCATATGGGGAGACTCTACCCTTGGCTCCACGTGTTGCTGATGAATTCGTGTGAACCACAGCTCTGGATCCAATTTCAGGTTTCTCAGCATTCTGATGTATGGCGGGAATATGAGCGCTCAATGAGGCGTTCGCCTTCAGACGCGTTTCACGTGACAGCGCCGATACATCCAGTGTTTGGCGCTAAGATCGATATCTGGGCTATTTTTCTTTTCTCTCTCGCTCTCTTTTTTTTTTTCTTTCTTAATACCTTGGAGTAAACACCAAAGCCAGGCAGTAATGGTTTACATAAAGCCAGATGAAGCCAGCGACTCTGGGGGATTAGTGAAGCAGGGTGGAGCCTGTTGGTGTAATTGCCATTACCTCAGTGGTAAACGCCTTATTTAAAATGTCATCTGCTGCGGTGGAAAAGTTCTTTGGCAACACAGTGGTTTGTTACAACTTCACAGAGAATATCTGTTGTATTTAGGATTATTAGCTCTTTTATTATTTTTAACCTCTCTTTAGTTTATAATAAAGCTGAGCTGCTGTTTTTGTTTTCCATCAACCTGCAAAACCTGGACCAGGAGCCAATCACGGCCCTGGAACAGGTTTAATGTGGTCCAAAGCTAAATATTTATTATTTATGCTTCAGAAACACAGATTACACAGATTAAATAAATTAAACATCTTAAGTTTTACTTCTGAAAATCTAGCAGTAAATTAAACATCTTAAGTTTTACTTCTAAAAAACTAATTTAGCTTTAGGAACATATTTTAATATATGTTTGTCCAAATGACTGTTCTGTATTCAGTTTGGCTTTTAGCTGTATGTCAGCTAACTTTAGCTTATTTTAATTAGCAATAAGCTAGCTGCGGGCTATAACTGTACTTTTCAAACTTCTTAAATGGACGTAAGAAATTAAATTTATGACTCGAAATTTCAATATGTAAATACTAAAACATTTATAATTTCTTTTTGTTTTCTGACACACACCTTTTTTTAGGTAGTTTTCCCGAACAAGCCCAGTATGAACACATCGTCTGTAACTGATTTCCTTTTGCACTGATGCTAACGTGAAGTCTCACCTCGCCTTCTCTGTGCCACGGCCGTCCGTTCTGAGGGTACTTGCTCTGGCTCTGGCGTTTCTTCTGGCCTCCGTCTGCAAACTTGCACAGCAAAGGCTCTGTAGGAGCTGCAGAAGAGAGAGAAAAGAGGAGAAAATAATTTGAGGATGACTGTACGCTGTGAGAGACCTCTCCACCCTCAGAACGACAGAGAACCTTTGGAATAATGTTCATTTTCTCCATCTCAACCATCCCACCTCCCTCCCTCTCTCCTCCCTGCCTGTGTAAGTCTTAGTCAAATTCCCAGACCAAGTATTGGCAGAGCTTCTGCTCCCAGAAACAGCTGGCGTTCCATGAAAGAGCGAAGCGGAGTATTGTTGAAATAATAATGGCAGTAATAGCTGTTGTAAATACTTCTAAGATGGTGACGTAGCAGCGCTCTCTCCGCCAAAAACCACCAGAGACGGTTTCTATAAGGAGCTGCTGGTCCTGACACAGAACACCCTGCAGGTCTGTAGCGTTACTGCCACCTTTAACTCTGATTATTTGAAAATTAAATTATATAAAAGTTAAAACCCACTCTGAAGCGATCAGCGTTCATGGAGTTTTTTATCAACAATCTGTCTCTGAATCACAGCTGCTTACATCACTTTACCTTCAGACAACTTTTTTTAGCTCTGTTTCTGTTTTCTCTCAATTCTTTCTGGTAGTTTTAACAATTTATTTTATTAGAAAATGTAAAAGAAAATAACCTGTCAACTTTAGTGCCATCTTTTCGGCTAATTTTTTTAGCTGTTATTTTGTGTTGATTTTCAAACTCTAACTTTTCAAACTTTTAGATCCTTGAACCTAATACTAATAAAACTAACTCCAGCTCCTTCTGTGAACCTGTACCTTTTTATCGCATTATCTTTTTGTATTAAACGCTGCATAAATACCAACGAAGCGTTTATGAAAATGTTGCGATGACTAAAGTTTGCAGAAAGGTAACTTTTCAAAGGGCACTCTCCCACACTCTCACTGCAGGTGACTGAAGACAGTCATCTGGATGAGAGAGTGTTAGAGAATGACGGGCCTGAAGAGGGAAGAAAGTGAAAAAAAAAAAGAACGTCTTGGTGAGCTTTTCTCGTGAGAAACAGGTGGCTAATTTGGCCGGGGGTGTGTGTCTGTCCCCCTTTTTTTTTTTTTTTTAAAAGTTTGCGTCAGCGAGATTGGAATCTCTCTGGAAGCGCTTGGATAAACACAAGACGGAGCAGAACTGGGAAAAGAAAAGGGAAAAAAGAGATAAGAAAGATGAAACGTAGAGCGAATGGGAATCCAAAAAAATAAAATAAATAAATACATATACACACCAGGATCAAACAGTGAATCCCAGTGAGTGCTGCAGCACAGTCCAGCCTCAGTACACTACACACTGATCCTGCCAACTTCATCCAAACAATGAACCACTGCTGCCCTGCACCTGGCGGCTCAGACGGGGCCTGACTGCTCTGCTGTCATCGCATTCACATTAGCGGCCTGGCAGCTCGTGACAGGGCTGCACTGTGGCGACACGGGTTCATCTGCGGGAGGTGAGCGACGGCCCCTTTAATCACGGGCCCTGCTAGAGATGACACGCAGCCTGAGATTTGTTGATGGTTTTAATCGCAGCTCCCAGATGTTAAGACAAGCTCAGGCTCATAATAACGCGGCCGTCAGGGCCGTCAGGGCTGTCAGGGCTGACAGAGAGCGAGAGAGCCATAAACCACGCTGAAATCTAATGAATTTACGACGGGGGAGGTTTTCAGCTGAATGAAATTATTTGGGTGTTAATGAGCAAACATGATGATTTGTGTCTTCATTTCCTGACGGGCACCTCCTGTAAATATGGTCACACTTGAACTGAGTGGATTTTTGTACTCTGACTGAGCGTAGGGGGGTGTGAATCCGGTGAATCAGATGTGGTGATGTATTAAGGGGGAGGAAGATGTGTGTGTGTGTGTGTGTGTGTGTGATGTTCAGTATGTGATGTTTACTGTGTGTTTAATCAGATAAACAAGACCAAAGGCTGCAGCACATCCGCCTTCTGGAGGCTTGCTATAGTTCATTAGCTTGTAGCAACCTAGCGCTCACTAGCTTGTGCACCACTATGGTGAGTTTGAATAAATACTACCTGTGTACTTTGGTTATAGAGCAGAAACAACACTTTTTTTATTCTCATGTAAGCATAGGCGTAAAAATATTATATAAACCACGGGGGTCAAAGTCATTCTGGTTCAGGGGTCACATATGGGCCTGATTAGATGTCAAGTGGGCCGGACCAGTACAATCATAACATAATTACTAGTCCATGTTTTTCCCCTTAGTTTCTATGTAAAGAAGTTGAAGTATATTACAAAATATTCATATTTATTGAAATATAATTTTATAAAACCTCATGAACATGGAGTGTTACTATTATTGAAATATAATTTTATAAAACCTCATGGACATGGAGTGTTACTAGCGGGCCATCAAGCGGGCCGGATTGAACCTACTAGCGGGCCGTTCTGGCTCATGGCCCTTATGTTTGACACCCTGGCCCACGGGCTTTATGTTTGACACCCTTAATATATACCTGGAAAAATCTGATATAGACCTGGAAAAATAAAAAAACCCCAAAGTTTTGTAAAATATTTGTTACAAATAGAAAAAAAAAAACAAAGTTTTGTAGAATCTTTGTTACAAATAACAAAATGGCAGCCATCATCTGGGAATGCTGCGATGACATTGGATGAGATCTGTTCTTTTCACTGTAGTGTTTGATTATTAAACGACAGCCTGAAAGCTGTATTTCAGAGGTAATATACTGCCGTCCTGATTCTGATTCTGATTCTGATTCTCTCAGCGTACCGGCCCAGTCGAGCTGTGCCTGTAGTTTGACCTTAATGGACATGTAAACACACTCAGTCTGTTTATGTGGCTTGAGGGGATCGTATACATTTGGGTAAAGTACAGATGGAAGGATCTGTAGGGAGAAAAAAAAACAAACCAGAGCTCCGTTTCCAAACCTGTTCCTCTGAGATAATGAGCTACTGAAGAAACGGCAGATAATCTGACAGGCTACACGCTGACGTTCTTCCTGCCGTAGTTCCCACAAAGAACTGGCCAATTTGGTCAGGCCTCCAGCCCAAGATCAACAGCCTCACACCACTCCACCCTGGAACACACACACACACACACACAGCAGCAGCTGCCCTCAGAGATGCTCTGGTTTGAACCACAAGAACACACACTCTCCCACAAGCACGAAGTGGTCCAAACAGGCCGGAGCCAGAGCTAAAACACTTCTTCAACCTCTCACCACACACACCGTCACCACAGTCACAGCTCAGAATAAACCAGGCCACTGACAGGATGTAGAAGTGTGTGTGTGTGTGTGAGTGTCCTTTAATGGTTAAAAAAATTGGAATTAAGGTCAAAGGTCAACAGCCGCCAATAACAAGAAACTCCATAACGACCGGTAAGAGTTTTTCATATACACTAGAACAGCGGTAAAGACTGATAATGAAGGACGACCATAGCTGCATACACCCACCCACCACACACACACACACACACACTCACACACACAATGGCTGTGGAGGAAGTGCAGGCAGGCTATTGTGAGAGTAAGACGTCTGAGAGTGCTAGCCTCGTTTGATGACATACTCCACGCTGTGCATTTGGCCGCGAGGAGACGGTCACGGCTTTCTGCTCATCAATAGACGCATTAGCAGCGCGGTGAAACGAAGCAGTAAGTGCACGAAGATGTACTTCGGCAACCAGACGCTGCTCTCACTCTGGTCGTTTTAAAAAAAAAATTGAAGCTTGTTGCGAGTGTTTGCTCATTAGCGCCGCGTGGCTAAGTAATCACCGCTAATACTGATGTTCCTTATTGGGGGCAGATCAGCCCTCGGTCGTGAACCAAGCAGACCTTAACTAAACTCTTTTCATTCTGTTATGATGTAGACACAGAGCTGAGCTCCGGAACATTCCGGCCGGGCCAGATGAATGGCATCTTGATACATGAATGCAAATAAGCACATGTATTGTAATAGATCAATGTCAGAACGTTACCGTGCGATCTGCTGCTCAGACCAGACTCTGATCTCTGTACATCTGTGTGGAGTGAATGATGAAATCGTACAGGAAGACCCTCAGGCCATAGAAGAAAAAAAAAAAAGGTTTTGCTCAGTTCAAACAGACGGCTTTTCACCACCAGGGCACTAACAAAAGAAGCCTCTCACAAGATCTTGGGGTCGGACCAGGACGGCCCTTGCATCGCTCCGAGACTGTGCGAAGCCCCAGAGGGCGAACAAAGGGAACTGTTCAGAGTCTTCAACCAAAATGAAGCAGTCTGAAAAAAAAAAAAAAAAAAAAACCTCAGTGAGAGAAAGCCCATGACATGTTTGGCTAAAGGCTCCAGTTGGTACTTGGCCCTGAAGTTCCATGAGCTCAGCAGCTCTGAGGAGTCATTTGGACGTCTCCGTGTTGTCGCTGCGAGGACATATTTGCAGAGGTTGAAGGAAAGGACAAAAGAAAGATGGCATTTTACTGGAATTTATCTCACGTCGCCTGAGGAGGTGGGGTTGCGGGGGGCGGGAGGGAGAGGAGGGGGCTCTGTCTAATTGGATCAACAACTGTCTGATTCCCATCAGTGAGCTTGACCTGTCTGCTCAGACTGAAGAGGCTGTGGGAAGAGACTGAAGAAGTGTGGGAGGAAGAGGAACAAAGTAGAGACGGGCGAAGATGAGAGACGGCAGTACAGAGCTCAGAAATATGCATGAAAACACATGACATGGACAGGACCAATAGGACGCAGCCCACAGCATTAGGCCCATCAGTGGGGTTGGAGCCCGCCCTCCTCCCAGCGCAAACACAAGTTAAACAAAATGCTGGACACACTCCTCGGAGGGATTTGCGTCCAAATGGACATGATAGAATCACAGAGTTGCTGGCTCTACATCCATGATGTAATTCTTCTGTTCCACTACACCACATCCCAGAGGCACCCGTGGATTAAGAACCGGTCCCTGTGGAGGCCATTTAAGCACAGTGAAGTCAGTGACTTGTTGAAGAAGCCAGCTGCTGATGGTGTGAGTTCTGTCCCGCAGCTGGACGGAGCCAC